TGGGGGCGCTGGGGAGGGGGCGCGGCCCCCCCGGGGTCTGGGGGTCTCCGCCTGCGCCCCCCCGGAGCCAGAGCCGGCTCCTCGCTATTGATTTCCCGTTAATGGCCGTTAATTATCGCCCTGCTTTAATTAACGGCCGTGACGGCTCGCGCTGCAGCAGAACCGGGGGGGACACGGGGGGGTGGCAGCGTCCCCAGGGGGAGGGGACACAGCCCTGGGTGGGGGGACACAGCCCTGGGGAGGGGGGGACAGAGAGGGGACACGGAAAGGACACGGAGGGGACACGATGGGGACACGGAGGGGACACGGAGGGGACACGGAAAGGACACGGAAAGGACACGATGGGGACACGATGGGGACACGGTGGGGACACGGTGGGGACACGGAGGGGACACGATGCCCCCCCCGCCTCACTCACGGTCACGTGCTCCCCCAGGTGCGCACACCTGCGCTCCCCCTTTCTCCCACCAGAGGGCGCGCGCGGCCCCGCCCCCTGCGCCGCTCCGCGTCCTCCCTCCCGCCAGGGGGCGCCGCTCCGGCCGCCGCCTCTCCCGGCCGCACTTCCGGCCGCGCTTCCCGAAGGGTTCCGGTTGCGCCTGCGCACAAGGAGCGGCCGCGACCTGCCCGGCTGAGCCCGGTGAGAGGGGGGGACGGAGCGGGGAAAGGGGGACACCGAGAACCGGGGGTGACACCGAGAGCCATGAGGGGGGACAGAGCCCGGGGGGGGACACTGAGACCCTGGGGGGGAGGACAGAGCCCTGAAGGGGACAGAGCCTGGGGGGGGACACCGAGAGCACGGGGGAGATACCGAGAACCCGAGGGTGACAGAGCCTGGGGGGGACACTGAGAGCCCTGGGGGGACACTGACAGCCCTGGGGGGACACTGACAGCCCTGGGGGACACTGAGAGCCCGGGGGGGGGACACGTCTCCTGCCGGGACTGGGGGTCCCCAGGCCGTGCCCGGGACCCCCAGGGTCCCCACCTGCTGGTGACACCCCCAAAGGTGCCCCAGCACCTCCTCCCTGACCCCAAACTGCCACCGCGGTGCCACTGCCTGGGTGACAGCCGCCCGTCCTGCCCCTCCCGCGTGTCCCCAGAGCCGGGGTCACCCTGGTGCCGTGTCCCTCCAGCCGTGTCCCGTGTGTCCCCTCGGCCGTGTCCGTGTGTCCCTCCGTCCTCGCCATGTTCACCTGTGCAAAGTTCGTCTCCTCCGCTCCTGCGCTTGTGAGTAGTGCCAGCCCTGTCCCCAGCCCTGTCCCCAGCCCTGTCCCTGTCCTCTGTCCCTGCCCCGAGGGACACCCCGAGGGGCTGAGCGTGCCCTGGGGGTGGCCCCGTGGCCCTGGGGGTGGCCCGGGTGGTTCCGGTGTTCCCCAGGTGAGCTCAGTGCGTGCCCTGCAGGTGAGGAGGAGCCCGCGGCTGCTGGGCCAGCACCTGTCGGTGCTGAGTGGCCCCGAGGCGCGGCCGGAGCAGGTAACGCACCTGGGCGGGGCTGGGGAGTGTCCAGGTGTGGCCGGGGTGAGGGTAACCCCACCTTCCTCCCCAACGTGTCCCCCAGGTGTGCCCGGGAGCCCCCCGGGCCCTGCGGACCAGCGCTGCCCACCGGGACATCGACACGGCCGCCAAGTTCATCGGGGCCGGCGCCGCCACCGTGGGGGTGGCCGGGTCGGGGGCGGGGATCGGTACCGTGTTCGGGAGCCTCATCATCGGCTACGCCAGGTCAGGGGACAGGGGACAGGGACGGGGGGGAACAGGGGGGACAGGGGGGACAGGGGGGGACAGGGACCGGAGGGCTCAGGGGGGACAGGGACCGGGGGGACGGGGGACAGGGGGGAACAGGGGGGACAGGGGGGAACAGGGACCGGGGGCACAGGGGGCTCTGGGGGGCACAGGGGAGCTTGGGAGGGGCAGGGGGCTCTGGGAGCACAGAGGGACTCTGGGGGTCTCTGGGGGGCACAGGTGGGCCCTGGGGTGGCCGTGCCCCCTGAACCCGGCCCCCCCGCAGGAACCCCTCCCTCAAGCAGCAGCTCTTCTCCTACGCCATCCTGGGCTTCGCCCTCTCCGAGGCCATGGGGCTCTTCTGCCTCATGGTGGCCTTCCTCATCCTCTTCGCCATGTGACACCGCACGGGCCGGGGACAGCGACGGGGCCACCGGGGGCCGGGAATAAAGACGGTTTGGTGACAGTCTGAGCTGCTCGTGTGTCCCTGCCGGTGTCACCTGTGTGTCTGCAGCTGGGTTTGTCCCCACAGGGTCACCCCGGGGGTGGCAGTGTCCCCTCTGGGCTGAGCTCGGAGCACTCAGCCGTGCCCCCAGAGGGACTGGGGGGCCATCGCTGCCACCGCGGCTGTCGCCTCTGTCCCTCCCCGAGCCGGGAGGGGGTTTGGGGTGTCCCAGCTGTGTGGGGGGACAGTTCCAGCCGTGCCCGGGCTCCGGGGTGTGCCAGGGGCCTGGGCCTGGCCGTGGATGGGATTCGGGTGTGGTCACTGGGAAAGAAAGGACAGCAGCACACACGGAGCTCTGTGGGGAAAAAAGGCCAATTTATTGTACAGACAGCCCGGATTGAAAGCGTGTTACAGGACAGGAGCTCATGGGACAATTGGGAAAAACATCCTCGGGACAGCACCTCAGGATGTGTCCCACGGGAAAGACACCAGGGGTTAATGTTGGTGATGAATTCCACTCTGTTTGTCACCGTGTTCTCACCCTGGGAGACTCCTCCCTAACTGAAGCTGCAGTCAGCTTGGCAGCCTGGGAATGGAGCTGAGAGTCAGGAGAAATCCAGGCCTGGAGAGAATTCCCAAGCTGGAACTCCCCAGCTCTGTGATTGTGTGTGTCCACATTCGGGGTGTCCCGGGGGTCTCAGATGTCCCGGTGTCCCGGGGGTGTCCCGGGTGTGTCCCGGTATCCCGAGGGTGTCCCGGGGCTGTCCCGGGTGTGTCCCGGGGTTATCCCGGGGGTGTCCCGGGTGTGTCCCGGTGTCCCGGGGGTGTCCCGGGTGTGTCCCGGTATCCCGAGGCTGTCCCGGGTGTGTCCCGGTATCCCGAGGCTGTCCCGGGGGTATCCCGGGTGTGTCCCGGTATCCCGAGGCTGTCCCGGGTGTGTCCCGGTATCCCGAGGCTGTCCCGGGGGTATCCCGGGTGTGTCCCGGTATCCCGAGGCTGTCCCGGGGGTGTCCCGGTGTCCCGGGGCTGTCCCGCTGTCCCCGCTCCGTTCCCCACGTGTCACTCTGGCCCCCTGGGCGGGGCCTGTCCCTGACCACGCCCACTCCGCTCTGTTCCCGCCCCCTCACTGCCGAGGCCCCGCCCCCGGCGCGTCCCATTGGCCGCCGCGCCGTTCCCGCCCCGCGGGTCTCGCGAGAGCCTCGCGCGCGGGGGGGGGGGGGGGCGGCGGGAGCCCCAGTGCGAACGGCGCCAGCGCGAGGACCCGGCCCGGCTCCCTCAGGTACCGGCGGCTCCGGCACGGCGGGGGCGGCAGCGGGAGCGGGGCGGCCCCGAGCGCTCCGGCGGCGGCGCCGGGGGCAGCCCCGGGAGCGGCGGGAGCCCCGGCCGGCCCCTCCCCCCACAACTCTGCCCGAGTTTTCGTGAGGCAGCGGCTCCGCCCGCCCCGGCCCCGCGCTGAGGGACAGCGCGTCCCGACCAATCAGATCGCGGGGAGCCCCTGAGCGACGGGCGCGGGGGCCAATGGCGAGCGAGGGGGCGCCGCTATGCGGCCAAACCCCGCCCCGGGGCGGGGCCAGGGGCCGTGAGGGGCCCGGGCGGGTCCGGGGGGGCCCGGGGGAGCCCCGGGATTTTGGGGGCTGAGGAAGCACGGGGGGAGCCCCGGGAGTGGGGCTGGGGATGCAGGGGGGGAGCCCCGGGATTGGGCCTGGGGGTCCTGGGAGGGAGCCCCGGGATGGCGGCTGGAGGGGCTGAGGTCCCGGGGGGAGCCCCGGGATTTTGGGGGCAGTCAGCGGGACTGAGGGGTCTGAGGGAGCTTAGGGCTGGGGGGCTCCTGGGGGATATCAGGGGGTGCTGGGGGTCTGCAAATGTGGGGGGATTTAAAGGGAGAAGAATTCTGGTGGAGCCCTGAGGGGCTTGGGGGGCAGGCTTCGGATGGGGAGGGGGAATTTGGGGCTGGGGGTGTCTCTGGAGGCCGAGCTGGGGACAGACTCTTCAGTGTTGAGGGCTTGGGGAGCCCTGAGGAGATTTAGGGGGGTCTGCCCTGGAGCTGTTCCCCGGAGGGCAGAGTTACCTGTCTCAGGTGTGACCTCACAACCTCCCCGTTCTGTTCCTCCTGCCACTTTCTTTGTCACCGTTGTCCCTCCGGAGGTGTCCAGGTCCCTCTGAGGGCACCATTCCAGTGAATTCCACTTACTTTAACTTATTCCAGTTAATCACTGCAGTGAATTCCCACTTTCCTCCTCCGGGGACGATCCCGAGGGGTTCTCCCAAAGATCTGTCCCTGAAGCAGCTCTGGGGAGGAATCCCGAGCATTCCGTGGCTGGGGGGTTTCTCAGGGGGCACAAGAGCAGCTGCGGGTTCCTGCTGTGGGGGGCACAGGGGGTGCAGCCCCCCTGATCCTGGAGGAGGGCTCTCCTGGGGCAGGGCTGGGAGCAGCTCTCAGGGAAGGGTTTGGATCCTTTGGGATCTGAGTTGGGATTTCAGCCTGCCGTCGGCCCCTGGGCTCCTCAGCCCTTTACCTGTGGCCCAGTTCTGCTCTGGGTGCCAGCCCGTGGTGGTCCCGCCTGTGGGACCCTGGGCCCTTCCCAGCGAGCCCCCAGCGGCTGTGTCCACCCTGCAGAGTGCTCCCTGTGCGGGTGTCTCCGTGTCCCCAGGTGTCTCCGTGTCCCCAGGTGTCTCCGTGTCCCCCAGGTGTCTCAGTATTCCCCATGTATTTATTTCAATGTCCCTCAGGTGTCTCAGTATTCTCCAGGTATTTATTTCAGCCATCCCCAGGTATCTCAGTATTCTCCAGGTATTTATTTCAGCCATCCCCAGGTATCTCAGTATTCTCCAGGTATTTATTTCAGCCATCCCCAGGTATTTTAGTTTTCCCCAGGTATTTATGTCAGCCCTCCCCAGGTATGTACCTGTGTTCTCCACGTCCCTGCCCACCTGCCAGCCCCGAGGTGGGGGCTGTCCCTGGCTGTGGCAGAGCAGGCCAGGCCTGGCAGAGCCTGGCTCAGGGGGCTCCTCTCTGACGTGGATTTCTGTTCTGGTTCTGCTCTCCAGCCTTTCCCAGCGGTGCCCAGGCTTTGTTGGGTGCAGCTGCAGGTGCCAGGTGCTCTCAGCTGGGCAGGTGCGGGAGCCCTCGGTGGTTTTCCCTGCAGACCCATCCCATCCTCGCTGGTGTTTTATTCCCGTCGGTTCCGAAGTGCCTGGGGATGGACGGCGGGGGTTTGGGATGGGAACCCCCCGGCTTTGGGCCATGGGGGAGCTGGGGAGAGGAGCAGCAGCGGGGTGGGGTCGGGCCGACCTTTGCTGTCCACCGTGGCCAGGGGAATCTTCATCCTCCTCTTCCTCCTCGTCCTCGTCCTCGCTGGGGCTGCTCTCGGCAGGCTCCTGGAGCCTGGGGCAGGCTCGGAGCCCACGGGCTGTGCCTTGGCTCTGCCTCCGGGCTCCTTCTCTGCTGCATCCCACGTGATGCTGCTCTGCCTCTTTGGGTTTATTTATCCTTCGGCCTTGCTTGGGGCCTGCTTTTATTTGCTTTTTAAAAAGAGGTTTTTTCTTCTTTTTTTCCTCTTCCCTTTTTTTTTTCTCCTTATTTTTTGTCCCCACCCTTTCTTTTTTTTTTCTTTTCCCGTCTTTTTTTTCCTCCTCCTTTTTCTGTTCCCGTTCCTGGCACTGCAGGTCAAGGTGGGATTTCCCAGACTGCCTTTCCCAAGCCCCTCACCCAGCTCCGAGCTGAGCTGCGGGCAGGGAGCAGAGCCCTGGAAGGAGCCTTTGGGTGGGAGCGAGCCCTTCACTGTCCTGCCGCTCACCCACTGCCTCCTCCCCGCCCCAAACCGCCTCAGAATTCCCGGTCTGGGCTTCCCTGGGGACACAGAGAGGGCTTCTCTTTGGAGAGACTAAAACCAGGCTTAGCCAGCCCCCCCAGCCCAGCTTTTCTCTGGATTCCTGCTGGGAATCCTCCCTGGCTCTCCTGGCCCTGCTCTGTCCTTCCCTGCTGCTTCAGATCTGCTTGGCCCAGACACAGAGAGCTCTGGCTTAACCCCGGTCCTTGTAAACCCGAGTTTAGCCCAGGCTGTGCCCGCTGAAACCACTCACGGAGGTTCCTCTGCCAGCCCTCCTACCTGGAATATTTCTGGCTCCCCTCGGAATTTTGGGGCTCGTGCATCAAACAATGGCTCCAAAAAAGCGTGTGAGCCTTGGGAAGGGAATTAAAGGAAGCGCCCGGGTGGGATGGAGGAGTGGCAGGTGGGAATATTTTAATTTTCCAGCCTGGCCCTCCCTGTGCTGCCCTGGCTCTGCCGTTTGGATCCACAGGCAGGAATTTTATCCCTGGCTGCTCCTTTGCATCCCATCCTCCAGGCGCTCCTGACTCTTCCCTTCAGCCCATCCACTCACTCTGGCAGGGAAAATATGTTCAGCTCAGCTCGGGGCCCTGGTGCCTCGTTTGCAGCTGCTTTCATTGAAACCAGGGCTCTGAAGTGCAGAAATAATTTCAGGAAATGGGACTCGAGGTTCTGGGTCACTCAGGCATTTCCGAGGTGAAATATTGCTGTGCCAGGAGCCCTGGCTGGGAATTGCTGGGGATTGCTGGGGCTGTGAGGAGCTGTGACTGGGATTGCTGGGGAGCCCTGGCTCGCCCAGGCCTCTCCCTGCTCCCCTAAACCCGGGTTTATTTCCCTGTGCTGCCGAGGATCTGCAGCACAGCCCCGGGTGGATCCCAGAGCTTGGATCCTGCCCGAGCCTCTGCGCTGGAATTGCTGCTCGGGGAGGCTGGGAAGAGGAAAATAAAGCTTTTCCTGGGGCAGTTTGGGGTTGGGGCTGGAGCTGGGTTTAACCAGCCCCACCAGGGCTTAAACCAGGATTTACACCAGGGCTTAAACCAGGCTTGGGGGCTCCTGGAGGCTGCTCCCCCCTCAGGGAGTCCCTGCAGCCCCCAAACAGAGCCCAGACCCACTCTGGGTTCAGTGAGGGCTCCCAAATCCCCTGGGCAGCTGCTCTGGCCCGGGTCGGTCCCCAGGTCACCTCAGGGCCACCCTGCAAGGTCCCTGCTCCCCCAGCAGCACCCGGCTGCTCCCAGGTGTTTGTGGCATTTCCTGCCGCGGAAATGTTGCACGGAGATTTTTGGGGGCTGGAAATCTCCGTGGAGGAGCCGTGCCCACTGCCAGGCCTGGCTTGGAGTGGGGCAGGGGGGGTGACAGTCGGGGTTGGGGACAGTCGGGATTGGTGACAGTCGGGATTGGTGACAATCGGGATTGGTGGCAGGGATTGGTGGCAGGGGTTGGTGACAATCGGGGTTGGTGACAATCGGGGTTGGTGGCCGGGATTGGTGGCAGGGATTGGTGACAGTCGGGGTTGGTGACAGGGATTGGTGACAGTCGGGATTGGTGACAGTCGGGGTTGGTGACAGGGGTTGGTGACAGTCGGGATTGGTGACAGTCGGGGTTGGTGACAGTCGGGATTGGTGACAGTCGGGATTGGTGACAATCGGGATTGGTGACAATCGGGGTTGGTGACAATCGGGGTTGGTGACAATCGGGATTGGTGGCAGGGATTGGTGACAGGTATTGGTGACAGGTATTGGTGACAATCGGGGTTGAGGAGCAGCCCGTTTGAGTCCAGGCTGTCAGAGGAGCAGGGGCTGCTGCTGGTGCCCCCAAACCCCCGAGGGGCTCGGCAGGCTGGGGTGAGCACAGGGAGCTCCTGGGGCTCCTAAACCCCCTTTGGCTCCTCACATTTGGGTTTTTAAGCCCAGTTACCGTCCCCCGTGTGCGGTGACATTGGCCAGCACCCGGTGCCGCAGGCCAGGAGGCTGCTGGCCACGGACCCTGCTGGCCACGGACCCTGCTGGCCACGGGAGGTTTTTGTCCCGTGTGGGGGCTCTGGGGTGTCCCTGGCACAGCCCGGGCCAGGCTGGGCTTTGTTGCTTTAAGTGAAGAGAAAAAAAAACCTTTTTGTGTCTGAGCCAAGCCTGCCCTGGCTGGGTTTGCTCTGGGTGTGCCAGGGCTCTGTCCCTGTCCCTTCCCAGGGGCTCTGTCCCTTTTCCCAAACCCCTTTTTGGGATTTGTCAGCTCCTGGCAGAGCTTTGGGAGCCGCTTTGTGCTGTCCCTGTGTGCTGGGGCTGTGACAGGAGCGCTGCCACACTCCAGGGCTGTCCTGGGGCTCTTCCAAGCAGGAAATTGGGGATTTCACATCCCCAGCACCCCTGGGCAGCGGGGCCCTGCCTTTGTGGGGATCCTCTCCCCAGGGAAATGCTTGGGCTGGGCCGAGGTTTCACTGCAAACCGCGCAGTGCCGCGGGGGATTTGTTTCCAGCCAGTTCCCTGCCAATATTCCAGTTTATTCACTTGGAATTGGCCTTAGGAGCGTGAGGGTGCTGTGGTTCCCGAGCTGGGCTTGCAGCTCTCGCCCTCACGGCAGTTCTGAGCTCTCTCAGCTTTTTGGTGACAAAGCAAACGCTCTCCCTCCTTCCCTCACACCCCAAAATAACTTTGGAGCTGGAGTTCAGGCCCGGGAGCCGCCCGGGGGGAGCCTCTCCCTGCGAGGCTGGAAGTGTTTCGCAATTTCCAGGGGTGGATCCGGGCTGGGAGAGGCAGGGACAGCTCGGGGGGGAAAGGGGAGCTCGGGGGGGGAAAGGGGAGCTCAGGGGGAGCTCAGAGGGAGCTCAGGGGGGCTGGGGGAGCTCAGGGGGGCAGGAGCCGCCCCCTGCCCACTCCCGATCCAGTCTGGGACCACCAGAAGCCAAACTGGCCCTGAAAAGGGGCCGGGACCCCCACCCTGCTGTTCCCCGTGGTGGGACCCCCACCCTGCTGTTGCCCTGGTTATTTTCAGGAAGAGCTTTGAGCTGTTTTGTTTTCCCCTGGTTTGAAGGTGGATCCCAGTGCCCCCCATCATCCCCAGTGCCCCCCATCATCCCCAGTGCCCCCCAGCACCCCCAGGCTGGCCCAGGGAGGGCACAGCCAGCCCTGGTGTCCCCCCAGCACACCTGGCAGGGCCAGGGCTGTGTCCAGGTGTCCCTGGTGACCCCCAGCCCATCCAGGGCTGGGCGCTGATCCCGAGCCTCAGGAAGCTCGGGAAAACAACACGGAGCCTTTCCTGGCCCGGCCTCCCGGCACTCTGCTTCCTTCCTGCCATTTTCAGGGAAATGTGGGAGATTCTGGAGCGCCTGGGGCACAGCTCTGCTTCCTCCTGCCCTCCCCGCGCTCACCCGAGCTCCTGGGGCTGCAGGTTTTGTGTTGTGCTGGCAGCCAGAGCCTCCTGCAGCCCGCCGTAAATAACGATAATAACAATAATAACAATAACAATAACAATAATAATAATAATAATAATAATAATAATAATAATAATAATAATAATAATAATAATAGTCCCGCTTCTTGTGGCTTTCTGTGCCCGTGCTGGGGCTGGGCCGGTGCCTGCAGCCCCGTTTGTGTCTGAATGGGTTTGTTTGTGCTGGGCTGGGCTGGGCTGGGCTGGGCTGGGCTCTGGAGCTGCTCCTGGCTCGGCTCCCGGGGCTTGGCACCGTCACCCACACTGAGCCGGGCTGGGCTGGGACTGGCTGGGCTCGGAATTAATCCCAGACCGAGCTGGGCTGGCCTGGCCACTCATTGGGCTCAGAATTAATCCCAGACTGAACTGGGCTGGCCTGGCCACTCATTGGGCTCAGAATTAATCCCAGGCCTGGTCGGGCTCAGGATTAACCCGTTGGTGCCCGTTCCTGCCCGGATCTGCCCTCCAGGGCTCGGTGCCCGTCCCAGCCTGGCCGGGTTCTGGCACGGGAGCCTCCCCTGCAGCTGCCCCTTGGCCTGGGCTTGTGCTGCAGCCCCAGGGCAGTGGGGCTGGAGTGAGCAGCCCGGGAAACCTGGCCTGGTGTGGGCTCTCGATTCACATCAGGGCTTGTGTCTGGGCTTTTGATTCACATCAGGGTTTGTGTGAGCTTTTCCTCTCTCAGGTTTATCTCTGAGCCGTTTCAGGGTTTGTCTCTGAGCCGTTTCAGGGTTTCTCTCTGAGCCGTTTCAGGTTTGTCTCTGAGCCGTTTCAGGGTTTCTCTCTGAGCCGTTTCAGGTTTCTCTCTGAGCTTTTCCTCTCTCAGATTTGTGTCTGCCCACCCCGCCTGTGCCTTTCCCCTCTCCCTGGCCGTGCCCAGCGTTCCAAGCCCAGCAGAGCAGTGGAATGCCATCCCCGGGCTGCTGGGCAGGGACAGGGTTGTGCTGCCAGCATCTCCCAGCTCCTCCCTGCGCCTCTTCCAGTGCCAGCATTGGTGGAGGGCGTTTATCCCATTTAAATGTGACATAAATCCGAGCTCCCAAAAATACCGACCCCAAACCCTTCCCTGCCCAGCCTGGGTCCCTTCATGGCATTCCAGCAATCCCCCAGCCCCAAAAACC